AGAACGGTTTAGATTTTGAAAGATTTTATAATTTTTGAAGTTTCTGACTTTGACAAGAGATATGGACAAGAGAAAATTATTTCTTGTTTTTGTTTGCTGTTGTATTTCCTTTATCTATGGCTTTAAGTTGCTAACCTATGACTTAATGAATGTCAAATTGTATTTTTTCTACATTAAGCTTCATTCAGAACCTTGCAATTAGTTGAATAAATTAGTGGCTTCAGTTAGCGTAGAAGTTTGTTCCTTTAATTCATAGATAATAGACTTATAATATTAAATAGATAGGCAACTTATAATACATTTCAGTTTTATTATACAAGGGCGCCTCTGGTAGTCGGAGGAAGAAATACTAAGGGAAGAGAGCGATGCGGGGAAGGGGGGTTTGTTTTAGTTAATTTAAAAGAAATTTAGACATACATGTAAGAACACTTTGTGTGCTTTTAATTAGGTCGAACCTTTGAATAAGAAGACTAAGGAAGGAGCATAATGCTATCCATGTATTCATGCATGGTGGGCGGAAAAAGCTCTCTAGGGTGGGGATCTTTGACAGTTCTGTTTGACGATTCATTTGACACATTTGAATTTGATTTGAAATTTTGTGGATTTGTCAGTCTTTACGGAGCTTATTTTATGTTATTTATTATTTATTCTACTACTGATAGTTGTATAAAGGTAGTAAATCTAGATGGAAATTGTGGCAGAACTTAAATTAACAGTGACATTATCGCGATTTATCGAAAAAGACTCTAAAATAGTTGGTTGTGTAGCGTGCGGTAGATCTCGGCAAAAATTGAGTGAAATAATGGAACAACTTTTCGATAGTAAGTGACTATATAATATACATACGTGTAGTAAACCGATCATTTATGAAATTCACTTAAATTAACTAAATTATATATTTTCTTGCATTTTAGCTTTTATTTACTACTTGTCATCAGTAATCTGATGACAGTCTTGTTGATCAGATGTCAAAGAATTTTGATACGTTAATTTGACTTACCTGCTTCAGTAGCGTATCGGATGTTTGTGTTAATAAATACTTATTATAACATCTATTTTTATTAGAATTATATATTTTTATAACAATTTTAATAACTACCAACATTTATTTACAACGTAAAATAAAATAACAAATTATTGAGTCTACCCTACATCATAGTTTTACATTTTTTAAATAAAATTAGAACGGCACTGATAAACCGGAATTTAAGTCGGCCATATTTGAGGCCCATCGCGGTGTACCTATAGATTTTTGATATGCTCCTTCCTTAGTCTTCTTATTCAAAGGGTCGAACATATTATAAACGATAAATCAACTTAATTAAAAGCATACAAAGTGTTCTTATATGTCGGATATTAATTAAAAAAAATATTAAAGAGACTAGTAATAGTATATATTAAGTTGTTACAGTTATAATTTAATCTTTGGCGGTTTTCAGCAAATAGCAGGCAGTTTTACATAATTTTCCTCATTTTGAAGTGAATTGTAACGGCTATATAATTTTGGCGTAGGCAAGATTCCCAGTTTGTTTCCGTTTGAGACCTGAAATAATAAAAACAAATTAAATTAAATTTAATCATCTGCTGATCATACTAATATAACGCAACGCGCGTCCTTAATTCCTTACATGCACCGTAAAAAAATTGGGAGAACCATAAACTCTCGAAAGCCCAAGTTATCGAAAACCCGAACGCAGGCGAACGGTAAACCGAATGGTCCCGATTGGAAGTTATCGAATCTCGGCTCCTCCCCTCGCTATTTGTATTTTAAATTCTAAACAAAAGTCAACAATTTGTTTTTGGTGGAAATATAAACTTAAAATACTTTAAAATGTAAAATTATATTGCAAAATTAGAACCTGAAAGCCTAGAAATACGGAATCGGTACAAACCAAAAATTTAACTTGTGAATAACATAGAAAATAGAAGCTCTTAATTTTGTTATTTATTTTAAATGCTAGCCCAGACTGCCCAGTCGAGTTTTCAAAGATATAAGAAACACGGAAGTTATTAGTATAGTGTTCACCATGAATTCTTACAAATTTCCAGAAATTAAAAGGATATAAAAGGCGTGTGTTCAAATATTTTAAAGCAAAACTTTGTTAGTGATTATGGAAGCCTCAAAGTTGCAGGCCATATCCTTATCAAAGCAAAAGTAAGGCTTATGATAAACACTTTTTCCCCATAGTTTTTTTTTTATATTTAGTGATTCTTTTAGGTCAAAAATCTACAGCGTATGAATAGTATGTAAACCTGAAGCTGAGATTGTATTAGAAAGGGTTTCAACATCAAACTATACTGAACTCTAACCCTGAAAATGTTAATACAAATCCAAAGCAATTACCAGCATGACAGGAAAATTAAAAGCAAAAGTTTCATTGAAATAATATTGTTTATAAATCAGGATCAAAATTACATTACTTCACTTTGAAAATAGGACCCTTTTAAAAACGTGAGCCTAGCTTAAAGGATACTGTATAAATTTCTAATGTTTTTTTATAACTGATGTTTACCTACTTTTTGTGTTACATCATGTGGCGTTAAAATATTTTTTTTGGAATATATTAAATTCTTTTAAAAATGAGGTTTGCCTTTTATTTTTTCCCTCTAAGGTTTTGTCTTAATATTTTAAATACTTCTTAGCTGATTTCGTTGAAGGTTATACAATTCCTGCAATTCTATCATAAATCGACCAAATCAGATTATAAAATGGTCAGCGTGTGTTCGGCTAAAATTTAGATGTCTTTGTTATTACACTGGTGTAGGACCAGTATTTTGTTCAAACGAAAGAAAACAACGTTTATTTTAATAAATTCAGTACCACTTAAAGTAGACAACAAACACCAAGTCAAGATATTCACATGTTTATTTTGATGCCCAATGCCCAATTAAGTTATAACTTCTAACATAAAAAAATATCTAACTTTTTGGCAAAAAGAAAACAGTTACTAAGGTTCGAATTTTTTACTAAAGCCCTCCGCTGAAAACTAATTCAAAAATATTAATTTCCTTTGACGGAAAACATTAGGAAAACATCATAAATCAACCAGCACTAAATCAAAAATCAATGTTACATTCAAAATTATTCATTATTAAAAAATATTTACATAAAAGGGTAATTACCCATAAAAGATATTAACTATTACATATGCTATTAAAAATTAATTTAATATTTGAATAAAATCTGCTCGTCACATGATAAATTTCTAGATCATATATAATTTATATACAAATATCTTAAAAATGTATTTCTATATATGATCTAGGGATAAACGTCAAATTTTTGTCTATTTGCCCAAAATTTTGAAAGAAGAACACGTTTTTATTCTGTTTCGGCCTAGCCATATCTTAAACGAAGAAAGGAGGAGTTTAGGCGGTTTACAGTCGGCTCCACACGACCGCTCCCGAAACTACACGAAAGTTTCGACAGTTTGAACTTTCGTCAGGATAAAGCCACCTCAAAAAATTAAATAACTGCTCAGCAAGTAGCATTTATTAGCAGTACTAATTTAAAAAATCTATAGCTGTAAGTAGATATATTTAATTTACTTACCATTGTATCCTTCGGAAACCTGGTGTACAACAATTAAACTCCATGATAAAAAATAACTAAGAGTCTATACAAAACACAAATTGTCCCATCATTTTTAAAAAACATTGTCTAAAACAGAATACTGGCAAAAAATCAAACAGGAATTTAATTTTACAATAAATCGACAAATCAAAACGAAATCAAACCGTAAAATCACAACAAAAGCGTCTCTGAATGTCTCGTGTCAGTTAAAAATCAAATTTTATTGTCAGATATTGACATTTGCATTGTTGATATTGACAGTTTTAATAGTTTGCGCCTCTGCATCTTGGAGGACAAACTATTTTTAATGAACTGTCATTTCCATTTAAGTTTCCCAGCCATGCTTTAACTTGAATGTAAGCATTCAGAACGTCAAAATTAGTGGTAGACATTCCCAATTAGTAGAAAAAGGTATCAGACTTTTAACTAATACTTCAAAATTTGCGACAAATGTCATTTTGGCTTTTGATTATCTTCAGTCAAGAGAAATTGTGGTTAAAAATCAAAAGTTGATTGTTTTATAAGCTAAATTTTAGGCTTTCTCTGTGGATATAACTAACTAACGCAAGCTGTTGCTAGGATTTTCTATTAATTTTTATTTGTGTTTTTTAAACATTGTGAATGATCGTAAACTAAAAGTGTAATTGAAACCACTAATTTATTCTACTAATTGCGAGGTTCTGAATGAAGCTTTAGACTTTTGCCTTGTTATAACATGATTTAAATTACAAAACTGCATTTCCGGGCATTAATTCTAGTTACTATAACACAGTAGTGTATGAACGTTTATGTTACGGTTAAAGTCCGATGTCCGGTTAATGTCGACATTAACATGTTAATGTTTGGGTTAGGTTATGTTTTTGATTGTTTGTCGTGTGTTATTCTCGAGATTAACCGGGTAATGTCGACATTAACCGGACATCGGACCTTAACCATAACATTTATACTACACAAGTTACACAAGTTACATTTGACAATAAAAAAATCGTAGGTTGACAACTTATGGTACGCGTTCAGTTTTAATTTAAAAATAGATTATCTTATATTAGTTAAAATGGGCTCACTCAAAATTATTCTAATTGAGCATTTGTATTCAGCATACGCCGACCTTTAAAAAACCTATTTACGAGTTCAGTGTAAAATCAACAGGGGAGTTAATATTTGGATATTTTAAAATTTGCCACCACCATTTGTAGAAAAAAATATATCACGAAACATTAAAAAGCCAAAAGTGTTTTACTTCCCCTCTAATCTAATAATATACATACATGTCAGCGATTGGATAGGCATGTCTGTATAATTAAATTAAATAATTTTTGATTTATTAATGTTTGCTTTTGTGGTCATATTTTATATACTGCTTTAACTTTAGATAAATTATAATGTTATAATTCCTAACTTTAATTTTAATTTTTATTTGTTTCAGGTGCCAGCTTACATTTGTCAAGCTGTAAGTAAAATGCTTCTTTTTAAATTAATTTTTGTAATAATATAAATTATAGACAAATACTATATTTTCTGGTATAATTTCGAATAATAATTTTAAATAATTTGACACAGATAAATTTTAACTTATTTATACAGAAAAAATAAATATATGGTGCTAGCAATCAACTGAAAATTGCTATATTAAATGAAAACAGCAAATTAAAACACAATTATCTCAATTATTTTAATGACATATAAAACACGGTTTAGCGTAATATTAATGTTACTAATTTTACTAAATTACATAGGAAAGTAGGTACTATGATGTAAATTGTCAAATTAATTTTAATACTTGCTAATCAATATTATTTTAATACAATTTATTGATTTTCGAATTGACTTAATAATATGCCTGTATAATTTTTGAATATTTAGTCTTAATTTAAGTATCTTTGTTTGTACTATTAAAGTTTTTTAAGCGTGGGATTTTTGAAATAATAATAACTAATTAAAATAATATAATATTAGGTAGTTTCGGGATACTTCCTTAGTTCCTTAGTTCATGTTACTTCCTCGGGAGTATTCTTCCTAATTCTAAAATTAATATCTGTACCATAGTTTTATTACTACAAATACCATATGATCGAAAAAAATGGCGTCAAAGACGGCTTGGGAATGACAATCGATAATAATTTTGGCGAGACCAATCTCTAGACGCCATTTACAAAATAGAAAACAAATTTCTTGCAGTATAGGTATATAATAAAATTATATAAGGATTCTTGCCACTTAACTGCTGATATAGAAATTTAATTCTACGCTGTGTTTGTCATAATGTGGATCAACCTGCTCTTACTACCGGTTTCGGAGCCCTACTCCATCATCAGGTGAGCTTGGGCAGATCCACAAAATGACAACCACAGCGTAGAATTATGACAAACACAGCGTAGAATTAAATTTCTATATCAGCAGTTAAGTGTCAAGAATCCTTATATCATTTTATTATATACCTATAGTGCAAGTAATTTGTTTTCTATTTTATAATTTGGCTTGCCTGAAAAAAAGCCTTTTACCATCCTTTTAGTATCGATATTTGCGCCTCGGTGGTACAAAAGTACTACCATTGCACGCAGGCCGCTATCTCCCGTTCGGGACTTAATATCTAATCGATACTTTCCCACAAGTCGGAATTAAATACTCTGCGCTGTGGTTGTCATTTTGTGGATCTGCCCAAGCTCACCTGATGATGGAGTAGGGCTCCGAAACCGGTAGTGAGAGCAGGTTGATCCACATTATGACAAACACAGCGTAGAATTAAATTTCTGTATCAGCAGTTAAGTGGCAAGAATTCTTTTTTATTATATTTAAATAGAATAAATCATTATTTATATAAAGATTCTATAATTTTATTTGAAAATTAAGTTAAATTTAAAATAAAAATTGCCTGCTTTGGGAGTAATACAATTTTTGTAAATGGAAACTTTAATAATAATTTCATCAAATTAAAATAAAGATATTTTTTGACAAAATGGAATGATGCTTTTAAATTTAGTTTGATCAAGTTTGATTTAGTTGAAAACAAGTTTGATGATATTCATATACTCAATTTATGACATTGTTTTTTTCTGTGTAATGAGATTGAACCAAAAGACTGTAGTTCTTCTAGTGATTGCATATTGAGAACATTTAATTTAAAGTAATTTATTTGATTTTTTACATGCATAGGTATAAGTATTAGAAATTAGAATGTTTAAAATGAAATATATTTATGTATGTATATTTTATTGCGTAATTAAACAGATGGTTTATATATATTTTCCATTATTCTTACTTCCTAGCTTTTAGTACGGTTTTAATAAGTAGTATAATAAAAGAAACCATAAAACTTACTTTTAACAATGAATGCATAACACAAAGATCGTTAAACTACGAGCGCAATTTCCTTATTAACAATAAACTCTGAAAGAGGTATTGCCCATCGCGTACAATTAAAATTTAATGCCCGCACGCTAATAAAACCATGCAAAATTACCGGTGTAACATAACAAATGGGTGTACGTTTTGCTGTTATACAACTTGAATAACAGATATATTTCACAATAACATACGGGCCATATCAGAGTGACAATCCCGACCGATTATATCGGCTCTCTTGCAGCCATAGTGCCGTTATGAAATCTTGACGTATCCGCAGTGATATAATATATCGCTTGTTTTGTCAGGTTTCCTGTTGTTATTAACGAATGGTCGATTAGTTTCATGTTTTATAATGTTCAAAAACCGATCATAATAGCATTGCGTGTGTAGGTTTTCCTTTCAGCTAAAAATATTGTTTGTAGACAGCTGTAACCATAGACCTCTATCAAAAATAGACTAACCATGTATACACTATGATTTATTTTGACCCAACATATACAGGGTGGTCCGAACTGTGTTCCGGAAACTTCGGCCAACTTATTCTGCAGATAAAAAATAAAAATAAGTAAAAAAGTTCGTATAAATGTATGTCCTAAAATGCTTAGTTTCGCAGAGATACAGGGTGTAGAAATTTCATTTTTATTTCGATTTTTTCCAAATAATTTCTGAAGTAAAGTCAATATTTGGAAGAACATTGGTGCCAGGGAGTTTTTTGACGGAAATTTGATTTTGATGTCAATATGACTCCTACTAGTAGAGGGCGCCACATACATGTGTTTTTACTGTTTTGAAGCCTAATAACTTTTTGTCCATACCTGTATAAATCCAGCGAGCGAAAAAATATACATCTCTGTGACTTTTTACGTAAAAAATATCTCTTTGTAAAAATTGCTACGAGCAACAGTTCTTACGATATTTAAAATGGAAATAATCAACATGTTTAATTTATGTCAATGATGACAGGTATTGATAATTTCGATTCGAAATATCTCGAAAACCATTACTCGTAGCGATTTTTACTAAGAGACCTTTTTCACGTAAAAAACGCCGTAAATGTATATTTTTTACGCATTAGTTTTATACAGGTACGGACGAAAAGTTATTATTCTTCAAACCAGTTAGAAAACATGTAAGTGGCGCCCTCTACTAGTAGGAGTCATATTGACATCAAAATCAAATTTCTCATGTCAAAAAACTCCCAGACACCAATTTTCATCGAAATATTGGCGTTACTTCAGAAATTATTTGGAAAAAAATCGAAATAAAAACGAAACTTCTACACCCTGTATCTCCGAAACTAAGCATTTTAGTACATACATTTATACGAACCTTTTTACTTATTTTTATCTGCAGAATATACTGCCGAAGTTTCCGGAATACAATTCGGACCACCCTGTATACAGGCAATATATTTGGCGTTTAGCACTTTTTAATTAAAAGTTGATGTTTTATTTCTCTATTATACCAGGGAAAACAAACTGTATGGTGAAATATATTTTGGCGAAAGTTTGAAACATCCTGTGGAGTCGTATTCATCATTAAGGTACATACTTTTTTCTTGATAGGTTATTTGTGTCATCTCATTAGTTTTATTTTTAATGGAGAGATTCGCTTTTGAAGAATACGTAGCAGTTTTAATATTAAAAACATGCCCTTGCTTTTGGTTCTAATCAACACACCGATGTGATCAAACACTTCAGAACTTTTACAGTGTAGCAGAGATAGTTTCAAGTTCAGAAATTGATCTCTACTCTAATAAAAAAGCAAACTGTACAACTTCAAGACTTAAAACCATTTCTGCTAGAATTACCAACACAAGTAATATTGATGTAAGTAATTCTTTTCACTGACAGTGACATTACAAAATCAATAAAAACTATTTCATAGGTAGTATGTCGAAAGCTAAATTTGTTTCTTCACTGTCTTTTTAAAAAACGAATATCTCCTATAAAAAAGATATTGAGATGAACCAAAAAACAAACTATCACGAAAATACACCATGATGATAAAATGGTTTTTAAATTTCTGACATTGTTAAACTATACAGAGTGTTTCAAACTTTCGCCAAAATAGAAATTTTGATTTCCTTTGTGTTATATAGACGCATGAGAATTTTAATTTTTAAAAGTCAAATAATTTAGCTACATATTGCTTAGAAAGTTAACAAAATCGGTCCACTAGAACAAAATTTAGGACCCCTGATGAAAACTGCTCTTCGAAAATATAAAAAACAAAAATACCGACCACAAATACCAGTTTCAATAAGTAATTTTCAATAATAGAATTTGCGTATTATCACGTATTTTTTAAAATATGAATATTTTGGTATTATCTGACGTTGCGAATGAATTTTGACTACAAAACATACTTATTTTGACAGGTGACACCGCCAAATTATGACAAGGTTAGGCAGTGTTGCCGTTATGTAACGCGCACTTTCGGTAGTATTTAGTTTGCTGTTATATAGTTTCATTTCCCTATTTAACCTAAACTCTACATTTACTATATACATTTATCACAAACAAATATAAAGAAAATCAATCAGTATAAAAAACAAACAAAAATAAATAAAAACCAAACCAACTAAAAAGAGTAAAACCAGTGCAATCAAATCACACTACAAGCGTGTTTTGATTGCGTATTAACCACTTTTGTAGCCTTGGTTTGGAATTTCAACACACTCTGGCAACACTTCATTAAATGTCAATCGGGAAATAATTATGGCAACTTCAGTTTTGAATAACTTGTACATTTTCATTCTGTATAATTTTTAAATATAAATAAGTATAACAAGAAATACATGAACTTCGCTCATTAATAATAATGAGTATTAACTTCTAGGTATGTTGTGAAAATTTAAAAAAAATAGACATATTTAACATGTGCAGTTTTAGTCATTGTAATAAAATAAGTATTTTAGAAGTTTAATATATTTTGTTCTAGATGGCCGATTTTGATGATTTTTAAGCAATTTGTAGCTAAATTATTTGGCTTTTTAGTGTCTCTTCCTAAATTAAAAATTAAAGTTACCTTTTGTCAGTTACACGAGGGAAAACAAAATGTTGATATTTTGGTGAAAGTTTCAAACACCCTGTGGAATATATT